GTAATTCAGCATTTCTTACTTAGTTGTATATTAGTATAGCTGAAAATTTTTATTAGGGAGATAGAAGGTAAGTATATATACAAATATATAAATATATATAAATAAATAAATAGGAACAGAAATAGCAATGGAGTAATTAATGAGAGAAAAAAGGCAAGAAAATAAAGCAAAGTACAAAAATGAAAATGAAGAAAATTTTCCAAATTATTTTTGAAAAACAAAAATTATTGTAAACTTTTTTAATAAATAAATTAAAATGGAAATTGCTAATTATTTTTGATTTATTGCGATATATGCATTTTTCAATTTTTTTTTTTATCATATATGATTTTTTAAGAAGAGAAAAATTTTAAGAAGAGAAAGTTTTTTTAATGAAAATTTAAATTAAATTTTAGTAAAATTTATTAAATTTCTTTCTTCTCATTTGATATTTTAGTGATGGTACTTGCGGGTAGCGATACAGATCGATCCTCAGATCTTATATCAGATCTTCATCGAACTGGTTTACGCCTAGCAAGAGACGTTATATCCATATCGCATGAAGCAATACGCCGTTCTTTCATAATTCTTATTTTATCCACAATTTCGAATTTATAAAAAGTTAGTAAAAGTAAAATAAAGTAAAAAATATATAAGTGAAATAATAATAGTGAAATAAATGCATATTTAATAAATTGCACATAAATATATTTTCAATAAATGAAAATAAAAGTAAAGAAAAATTTTGAAAACATTTTTTTAAAAAAATTTTTAATTTCTTTCTAACCGATCACTAATAAATAAATTAATAAATATAATTATAAAATAATTATATTTATTAATTAATGATACGATGATAATGCTTGAGTGATACACAATTTTCATGATATAAGTCTAAGCCATAATATTCGATTCGGCTTGGCTCTCTTTAAAGAAGGTTAAGAAGTTTCACAAACGTTGAAAGAAAAGCGAATGGTCATTAGATCATTCACCATAGGTGCTTCTATCGCCAAATGACTTACTAATACCTAAAATTTAAATTTCCAAATAAAATGTTAAAATTTAAAAATTTTAAAAAATGTTTTAAAATGATGAAATAATAAAATTCGAATCGTTGAACATCGATGAAATTTTTTCAGCAAAAATTAAGACTTTGTATTGATGGATTCTTGGCGCATTGAAAGCATAAATTTTGGCAGAAAAAAAAAACCTTCGAATGAAACATAAAAATTTTGCCAGCAGCACTATTAAAATTATGCATTTTTATTTTTTATTTATTGTTTGATTTATTTGAACACACAAAACAAAAAGTATTACAAAATAATTTATTATATTTGTTGAATTATTTTATTCGAGTCTAAATTGAGAGAAATTTCGAAAGCGAGCGAGCAATTTTACTCCCAAATCCCAAAAATGGTGACAATTGAGAAAACTTTCTTTTACTTCCCTTCTACTGAAAAGATTTAGCGGTATAGGATGCGCCTTGACCAAGCTATGTTTAGACAGAAGCACAATTGTGTTGGCCAAATATTCATGTTAAAAATGGTGCTGAAACATCGCTTCAAATATTGGCAATCCACCGTCACATGTCATTTTCATCGACTTTGCAGTTGCCTTCGATTCATTTGACAGAGCAGATGGGACGTAATGGTTTTCCAGAAAAGACCATTCGCCTCATAAAGGCATTTTATTAGCTTACATCGGTAGATCTATATATATATATATATATATATATATGGGAAATTAACCATTTCGAAATAAGAAAGGTCCGTCTGTCAAGGCTGTAGTACATTTCTATACAATATTCAACCGCGACTCTTGACGGCCTTAAAAGGTGTGCAAATCAGTACAAAGCGTAGCATCACAGATCTTGATTGGTGTATTCCTTTTTGCTGATCGCTATAACGAAATGCGCATAATGTGTCGATAATTGCAGCGAATTGGACACAGAGTCAATGAAAAGAAAGCCTTTTTTATCTCAAAAGCTGATAAAATACCTATTTTTATCAATTCATTCCCAGCTAAGAAAGTACCAAACTTTAAAAATCTTGGATCCACTCTAATTCCTAATGGCTAGACGAAGAAAAAAGTAAAAGCGGGATAACAATAAAAATGGGTTCTTCTGGTTAGCGAAAACTTTATAGACTCGTCGAAATCACTGTAATCACCGTAAAGAACGAATATCCACATCTGTATAACTGCAATTGGCTCGACCTTCCTATATGGCTGCGAAACATGGTTGATCATATTGAGAAGTTCTCACATGACTGCATCGAGCTTCATTTAAATACCGCATTAATACCATCACAGTACCATCACACAGCGTCGCTTTCGCTGACTGGGGCACGTTCTTCGTCGTACACCACAGAAGTTAACACATATTTCGTTACTTGCTAAATGCTTGATGGATGGCATCAAAATCGATGGGAGCCAATTAAGACCTGAACTGATATAATAAGGAAAGAAGTTTTGAACGTATAGGAGGACCAGGGATACATGGACGTAGACGGCGGAAAAAAGAATAGCTTCTATTGCCATCAGCGATAGCATCAAGCAACATGGAAATGTCTTACCATTAGAGCCAGCGGAGCCAACCTAACCAATCGTGGTGAGAACTATTAAGAAAAGAAAAATTTGACCATACTACCTCTAACTCATAATGAATTATTTTAATGCAATGATTTAGTACCTTTAAATATTTCTAAAAATGGCCATTTTTCATAATAATTATTAACGAAAAGTGCTTTTGCCTTAACATATGCAAAAATTCTGATTCTTATCAGATAACTACTAAACTTATAAAAACATAGCATACATAGCGTTCTTTCAACGAAAGTTCGAAGTTCAATAAAATATAGGAATATTTTACAGCAAAAGTGATAGATAAAGCGAGATGTTTGTTCTTCTTTATCATTTCTGCTTTGGCCAGCTTTACTGATTATTATAGGGTGAAATTACGTTTGCCAACGTGCCGCTTGGGGATAAAAGTACAGCTGAATCCACTTCACCACTTCGACTATATTTTTTCACCATTCAAAAAGCGTATTTAATTAATACTTAATTAGGGAATGAAAATGAAAAATAAAAAAATAAAACATTATAAAAAAATTGGAATAAAACATAACATAAAAAATAAAATAATTTGTTTGAATATAATTATTTATTAAAATAAATTATAATAATTTATTTCCTAATAATTTTATTTATTTATTAAAATTATTTTGAATTAAAATAAATAAAATTAAAAAACCATCTATTTATATAATTTATTAAAATTATATAATAATTTTCTGAAAAAAAAATTTTTTCTATATTCTAGAAAAAATTCAAAATTCTACTGCCATAAATATTTTTTCATGAGAGATTCAAACAGCACAACACATTACCGATCTTTGAAACACATTCCGAATTTATTCAGGCTGACACTAAAATGATAAATGTTTCCATTGAGACCACGCGATCCTCCCTAAATCGTTAGATTTCATTGAAACGACCGCCAAAATTAAGCCAAAACCCCCGAATTGTTAATTTAATAGCAGTGGGAAGGAAAAAGGTACATAGAATGGCTCAACGGGTTATTGCTCAATTCGAAGCTCCGATGCTTAAATTCTATTCCTCCAAGGAGTAAAAATGCAGTTGATGCTGGCAACTCCTTCGCACTTCTATTCTTAAGGGAACTTCCTGACACATTTGTCTAGTGGAACGATTTCAACCAGTAATGATGAAAGCTTTTAAAGAAAAAAAACTCAGGATTTAAATTTAATTTTAGTGCTAATTATCAGCAATTTCCAATTTATTAAAAAAAAACTTATGAATATGTCGAACATGAAAATTACTAGTGGATAAATGGCGAACGGTGAATGTAAGCAGCAATAACTATTCATTTGATATTCTATGACTTATTTATTCAGCTTTATAAATCACCAATTAATACGAATCTGATTCTTTTCTGAATCTGATAAATGCTGATTAAATGAAAAAAAGTTTGAAATAATTAAGCAAAAAAAAAATTTTAGGCAAAATTTCTACTATTTTTTTTGATAATAGAAATTTGATAAAATTTTTGAACGGTTTTCGACAAAATAATTAGACGCTCACCACCAATTAATAATGGGGAAACAGTTAATAATTTAATAATAATAATACCACCTTTTGCTCTCTCCCTCCGCTCCTCCCTATTCCCCTCACCCTTTCCCCCTCACTATTGAAAACATTATAAATGAGGAATAATTCAGCGAAAAGAAAAAAAAAATTTGCTATACAATGGATATCAAAAAATGCAATTTTCAAAAAAAAAACTAAACAGCTATTTGTTGCGAAAATTTCTTTTCAACAATAAAATTTAAATTGCTATTTCAACAAGCGATAGAGCTGAAAAATTTGATAAGTGGGTAAAACCTATGAAATCCAATAAAAAAATTGCACATTTTGTCCATAAAATCATTTCACCTAAACGATGAATAAATATATAAATACAAATATAATCGAAAATTATTTTTAAAACACAAAAAATCTATTTCCTGAAAAAAATTTTTTCCCAAAACTGAAATTTATCAAATGACGGAGTCTTATAAAATTTTATAATAAATAATTATAAATATAAATAATATAAATGATATAAATAATAATAATAACAAAACCGACTTGAAATAAAAATCACAATAAATAGAAAAAAATAGCAATAACCCATTAATTAAATGAAATAAAACCAAACCCTAATAATTCCCAATTAAAGGTCAATAACAACAGAATGAATAATAGTTAATTAAAAAATTTAGAAGAAAAAATCGAATCGAAAACACCATTTGGAATAATAATTACTCTTTACAGAGAAATTAGTTAAATCCCAAACCATTCAAAAACAACTTGGGAATTAGGTTCATTTAAAAACATGAGCGCTTCCAATAAAACTTTCAACAGACACGTTTAAACAATTTCACTTTTCTTCTTCTTCATCGATCGCATAAAAAAAATTTAATATAACAAAAAACCGTTTCCTTATACGCGATTTTTCATTGGATTTAGATGCTACTTAATAAATATCCATGCATATAATAAGGCAATTTAATTCTCATAAATAAACGCGTAGCAAAAAATGAGATTAAAATGCAAGCAAAACCAAGTCCAAGCATCATTATTCGATTCAATTTCGGTGTAAGCGGATTATTGCAATTATCGAGAATAATAAAACCAATTCCTGCAAGAATTAATTTCAAATCTGTATTTATATAGCTTATGAAATATATGGATATCTTAAAGTTGCTGAAAAAAAGCAGAAGATAATTATTGGAATACAAAAATTTTTATACGATCCGAACTAAAAATTCTTATAACTACTAAAAAATTGAAAATAAAAAAAAGCTTACCACCCAGAGAGAACATGAAACTCGCAGCCAGTCCCTCCATAATATACTGACCATTAATTCGATGTTTCATTATTGCGACTGGCTTCGCGTTTCCTCTTTCATCAGTTGTTTGTCCTTGAATTACAAGCATCAATTAAATTGAAAGTTGAGCCGACAAATTATTTATATCATTATAATAGATTTCCTTTTAATTTAATTTCAAAATTTTTTGAAAAAAGTAGTTAACATTCATAATATTAAAAATTTATCAGCTTAGAATGAAAACTAAATCACTCTTAATAATAGTTACAATTAATATAAATTATAATTAATAATTAATTAAAATGAATTCTGAAAACCAACCAACGCCTGGAGGTTCATTGATGATATCGTAAATGACACCGCCAGTTACAAAGAAATATGTCACCATAACAAAAGCAAAAACCTGCATTGGAGAAGGCATCTGAAATCAACTCATTAATTAGCCAAACTTTTCATTTGGCTAAATAAATTTTATGCCATTAGAAATGGATAAATTAATTTCAAAAACTATTGCTGCAAATAATTAACGCAACTGTTACAGTACCATAACTCGATATATCTCCTTTTAAATGAATCATAGCATTGTTTCATCTAGGTGAACTAAATTAAAGATAAAATTGTTTGAAAAATGACTTACACTAAGCCACCTCGGACGATTAATGCGAACATTTGGAGGATCAATGAATGTAAAAAAAACGGCTTCGAAAATAGTTTCCATCCTGAAATTTTATTGCAAATCATATATTTAAGAAACCAAAGAATAAAAATTATAGAATAAAAAGCGACAATCGACAAAAAAATAAGCAAAAAAAAAGTGGAAATGTCAAAATATTCATAGAAAAAGAACAAGTATGAAAGAAAAATGAACGACAACCAAAATCATCCAAAAAATGTTTGTCATTTTATAAAATCATAAAAATTTAGAAATTTAAAAAGTAAAAATATGAAAAAAAACTGAGTAATATTTATATAACCGAGCAATAATAAGAAATACAACAAAACAATGCTATTAATTTGCTTACTAATTCTTATATTTGAAATGATAGTACCAAGAAAACTTAAAAGAATAAATTTACTTGTAAAATATGCATATGCATATAAAAATAATGGGTTCCTCGTTTCAATTTGAAAAGAAAGCACAAAAGTAGTATATATATTAAGTAAGCAAATTTTTTTATTTCTTACTTCTTATAGTCGTAAGTTGTACTTGCATTAAAAATAAAATTAAGAAAATTAAGAAATAATATACACAGTTGTAAAAAATTAAAATAAACTAAAATTTATCTCAACATTAAATTCTAGGTAATTAAAAAATATTTGAATGTTTATGTGAAGATGTACCATGTTGAACACATAACCTAAACTTATATACAGAACTAATGAAAAATATGAAAATTTTACAGAACCATTTTCAATTAAAGAACAATTCATCATACATGCCTATCTTTAACATTAACTGTGCCATTCAGAGACGCAAAATAAGCTTTTTCGGCGACTCCAATAAAAAGACCAGTTTCCACAATTCCTGGAAAATTAATCAAACGGTGATGTAATGCAGCCCAGTCGCTCGTATTCAAATATTTGCCTTTGGGAAAGTGCCAATCCAATATGTAATTGTGATTATCCGTTATAACAGGCCCACATTTTTTCGAACTCATTCGCAGAACAGGTTCACCTCCTTCTTCCCGTTTGATCCACTGAGCGATTGGCACATGCCTTTAAAAGAAAAAAAGATGTGATTTTTATTTTTAAGATGTGATAATGAAAAATATTTCAAGCGATTATATTAAAAAATTTCTTCTAGTTTCCGATTTAAATTCTAATAAAATATTTTTTATATTATTATTGTAAATAAAAAAATAATTAAATTTTATTTCAAACTTGAAATTTCAAATACGAACCCAAACGGAATAACTTCAATCGGTATAGTTGGATATTTTTCACCAAGGACTTTCGAATCTTTACGGCTATCAGCGATTATATAAAAGCGTTTAGCACATGACTGTACAATTTTCTCTCTTGTTAAACAACCTCCACCACCTTCAATTTCATTCATATAGATTATATCTATTACAAAGAAAATTTACAATTAATTTTTATTAAATTTAATTAAATTTAGAATTAATTTCAATTAATTCATTTCTTTTATAAATTCATTTAGCAATGTAAAAGTGCAAAAAAAAATCTAACTGGAATCCAATTTAAAGAACCAAGCAAAACCTTTTATACAATTTAGAGAATCGTCTACTTCATCGGCTCCATCTATACAAAGATCCAATACAGGAGTTTGCTCTAAAGATGAAACGTGTATACCAGCATTCACTAATAATGTATTAGTTTGAAATGATGAAGGCACGCAAATTATATCACTGAGTAAGCCATTTTTTATACGTTCAGCAAGAAATTCTATCAAATATTTTGCCGTCGATCCTGAACCAACACCTAATCGACATCCGCTAAATATTTCTCTTTCACCGGCAGTATAAGCAGCTGCACGTTTCGCTGCTTCAAGAGTTGTACGAGTTTTCATTTCAGACTGAAAAAAAATATTTTTTTTCTTAAATTAAATTAGACAATGTTTGTATTTTAATATGAATATTTAAATATTTATAGTAAATTTACATTAAATATTAGTAAATATTTTTTTAAATGTAAAAAATTGTGAAAAATTATCAAAAAATAAAATATTTTTTTAAAAAAACTAATATCCAAAAACTAATATTTTATAAGAATAATTTTTCCATAATTTTCATTTAAATATTTGAAATTAACTGATTAACTGATTAGTATGGGAAAAAGATAAAGATTACACCACTCAATGATTGCATTATTAGATTTACTGATTCTTATGAGTTATCCGAACCGATGGAATGCGGCGCCGATGTTTCCACGCTCATCTTTTTTTTAACTTTATTTTCCTCTCCTTTGCTCCAATCCTCGCCTCTATCCTTTTCCATTATATTTTTCTTATCTCTTTAAAATAATTAATAAATCAGATAATTGGATCGGATAACTTACAAGAATTTCAAAGAAACGAGGAAAAAAAGAAAAAGAAATTTTTTTACCGATTGAAAAATTATTTAAATAGATAAGCGGAAGAAATTAATATGGAATTCTTCATAAATAAAATACATTTTTAAAAAATAAATATAGAAAATATTTTAGAATATCGAATAGTAAATTTATAAATTATACTTCGCCAGCTTTTTTCATACAAATATAAAAATAATTTCCATTCCTTTAGTATAAAATTTGAAAGGAAATTGATTAAAGCAATAAAAAAATAAAGTGAATGATAGATGTGATGAAATGATAAATGATAACTATCGATAAGTTATGAATATTCCTAAATTTTTCCATTTTTAGATGATTTTCAATATTTTGAAAAATAAATCGTCGAGTTTAGGCCTTATTAATAAAAATTTTCTATGAGTTTAATGAAAAATGCTAATTTCAACGCTCAAACCACATTACAGTCAGGAAAGGACTTAGACGATGGAAAAAAGAATGGTTTCTATCACTACTAACGATGGCACCGGAACCGAAGTCTTGAAACGTTATCCTTGCAGCCAGCTGAACCAATAATAAAACCAGGTACATCACCACAGTACCTCACCTCAAACTATAGAAAATTAACTACGCTTCGATATATTGGCAAAAAAATTTCAGCCCGCAGTCCATTTCATTAAATAATAACGGCCGCAGCTCAACGACGATTTATTACGGTCTCGTGGCTGCGATCGTTTTATTTCTTGATTTTATGCTCGATATAAACGTTGATAGCCGTTGTAGACAAAATTTCAGAGGTCAGAGGTCAACGACAAAGGTTATGAATAAATTTCCAACGAAAATTTTCCTACTTTAAAAATGCTGAAGTTTCTCGAGATCAAAAGCAGTTCTTCTATTCCGTACGAGAAATTTCACGTTTTTACAATTTCAAATTTTTCTATTACGTCTCAATTATGGATTAAAATTAATGGATTAAATATAAATGTAATTAAATTAAAAGTTTTTTCTGCAATTTTTTTTAATAGGCGAATAGTCGTTTTATTTTTTTATATATTTCCATAGAATATAAAAAAAATTGAAAAATAGAAAATAAATAATTTTAGAGAAATTATGGAAAAATAAAATAAACATTTTTTAATATTGGCGTATCATCCATTCTTTCTTGTTGCCGAAATTCTTCTTTTGTTATAAATATTTCTGAAAAAAAAAATTTTTATTAAATGCTCACATATTACAGCGGAGGACGGAATGGTTCAGTGGGTTGTTACTCAGTTGGGAGCGCTGGTGCTGAGGTTCGATTCCCCGCAAGATTAAATCTATTCAAAAATTCGAATGATGCTGCCCACTCATCTGTTCTTCTATCGCCAAACGACTACTTCGTATATTTGTTCAGTACGATGAGCCAGCGGAACGAATCTAATCAGTAATAGTGAAGGCTCTTAAATTTTACTTTTATCACTAATTCATATCATATCATAAATGCATGCTAAATCAAAACGTTGAAATATTGTAAATAAATTTTAATTATTTATGGCAAATTTCGGATGTGCCTTTTTTCTAAGAGTGCCCATTCTTTCTGATTAGCCTCCCTCTGCTGGCTTTCTTATAAATATAAGACCAACAAGCCACTAAGTCCTCATTCACTCCTTTATAATTATACGATAGATCTTTCAGTTCTTCCATTTAGCTTGTTTATACTATTTTCATATAACATAAAATTTTTTGCTACGATCAGAACAGTTTTCGACGCCAATATTATAGAAGAAAGAATAATTTTACAATGAAAGCAACTGTGAAAGAAAAGGTGAAGAAATAATTTGTTTTTTTGCGACAAATAAAATTTCGTATCATATTTATAGAAAAATTTTTATCAAAATATGAATTTATAACCGATAAATTATCTAAATTGATTCATTAAAACTGAAAAATATTAAAATAAAAAAAGATAAAAAATTTTGAAATTATTGAAATTTTGAAATTATTTAAAAATTTGAAAAATTATGCGAATTTTTTTGCATAAAATTTTTCTTTTTAATTTGTTTTTGTAATTCATAATTTAATAAAAATTTAATTTAATAATTTAATAAAATTTAAGAAAAATTCATTTCAATAAAATTGTGAAAGAATTTTAAACGAATGTCTAAAAAATAAACCAAAATTGAATAAAATGATAAATATGGTTAAAAATAGATAAAAGGGAAAGATAATTTTGATAAAAGTGCAAATATATTTTTAAGCATTTGAATTGCAAATTTTGAACACTAACATAGGATGGTGCGATTTATAAAGCCCTAAGACCAAATGCATTTTATTTCAATTGAGGACAAAATCATAGATTGTCCCTTAGCTTGAAACTGAATTATGTGGAAACCAATTTTCACTCATTTTAACAGGTAGAGACTTTCTTGGCAAAACAATCTCTTCGAGTTACTAAATGGAGTAAGCAAAACCAGAAATGGTAAAGAATATGAAATCAAAAAACAGTTTGAAAATCAATTGATCGTTGTTTCTTGTTAATTAAATATCAAAGAAGCAAATGATCAATATGAAACAACTTCCTTCTTCTAACAGCTCTCACCATACTGATTAGGCTGTCCTCTCCGCTGGCTACAAGGACAACTCCAGTGATAGACGAGTGCCCTAAACCAGCGAATGCGATGTTCTATGATAACATCATTAATACAGGTAATATTTGAGCTGATATACCGGTAATACCGGTAATATGTATACATGAATCATGTGAGATTTTTTCCCCTCGACGAATCTGAGTGGTACTTTAGACATGAGTGGTCAAAGGCTAATAGCTTCTTAATATGTTCCACTCCCATTGCCATATTTTGCAGCATATAGCAAGGTCCAGCGAATTGCAACTATATGGTCGCAGATTTTGGTCTTCATGAAACATCTTAGTTTTTGAGATCAAATGCTAACAAAAGCAATGAGAAAGGATGAGGAATTAAAATAATAATAAAAAGATTAAATTAATAATTAAAATAATTAAAACACTAAAATAATCAAATTCATTATTCTTAGATTTTTCAGGCAATGAAAAAGTAATGTAGCGCCAGAATAGTTGGATGGTTATTGTCGCGAAATGCGATGCCATTTTTAAAATTATTATTTCTAACCGGTGACCTCGACTCGCCGAAAGAAATCTTTCATTTGACTTAATTGATTATTTGTTTATTGCAATTCATACGTCAATATCACTAGAACATAAAGGTCAATTTATAGTTTATACTGTATATTCCTCTTAAGACAATCGTTCTTCTTTACTTATTTTGGTGCCATCAGAGAACCCGAGCGATTGGGTCCCAATATTTCAATATTCAATACTTTGTTATTTAACATCTTTTATATTATTTAATCATTTCTTATTTGTTTTGAAATAGTTATCTTCTTAGTCTCTTTGATTTAATCGGATCTTGTTTTTTTATCTATATATTAATCGGTTTTATTACCCAAGTTTAAGGTGGCGAATAAAAATTTATTAGTATCTGCTGTGGTCAGGGCTTATTCTTCTGTCATGATAAAGCAGCCAGATCGAGGTTATTCAAATATTAACGCGTGGCAGGCGCCCACTGCCTTCAATTTTTTACAGAAGTAAGCCTATCATTGAATAATCTAGATGATGCTGGAGACCTAAATAAATTTTTATCCCAATGCAATATCATATTAAGGACGAATAAAATGAACTAAATTAGAAGTGGAGAGTACCACTTAATTTCTTTAATATTTTTCTAAAAGCATCATCATCTCTGGTCAGGCACTATTGGCTTGTCCAGCCAGATAATTTCGATCAGGATATCATTTAATGATAGAAATACAAATCAGTCACCAACATCATTTGAAAGGCAAGATTGCTCTGGCCGATTGTAGAACTTGGTCGACCCTCTGTTAAGCCATTCCAATTTTTTTTCCTTGAATGAAAAAAAGGTTGAGTTTGTGTAGCTGTGCAGTTGTATTTACGATTTTTTTCGAAATTTTTTTTTGAAATTGATATCAAACGAGCAGTATCTCTGATACGGAAATCTGATAATTCTGACTGGTTTTCATATTGGCAAATTAAAAAGTGAAAGTTTTTCTCATTTTTACTTCGAAAAAAATTTGTCCATTGTTTTTAACTATTATCAGTTGTCGCGAAAGAATATGAACGCCGTGAACTTCAATATAATATATTGCCTTTCCCATCTTCATTAGGCTAGTTAGTTTCGATAAAAAGCCTTTAAAATCTGGTCAAAGAATTAAAAGCCCAAAAATTTTAAAAAATGATTTCATCCTTCTAAAAATTTCGATTTCCCTGACGCCCAATTCGCTATTAAAAAGTGGAGCCTGGATGGCACTAGGAACCGTATAATTTTATCGTCAACGACTATTATCTTATACACAAGCTTTTCAACCTAGCAATCGACAGAATTAATAGATGCTGCTAGACAAAAAGATTTTTTCTACTATTTTTCATTTATCCGTTTCGAAAATAAAGTTTTTAAATGAAAATAAAAGAAGGAATCAATCATCAAGCTAAACAACCATAACAACTTAAGCCTATTTTAAGCTGATAAAAAGATTATTTTCAGCGGTTAATAATCGCTTTTCATAAATTCATTATTCTTTTTTCTCAAAAATTTTCTTATGGAATATTACAAATTTTCATTTGAAAAAAATGAATCCAAAAAAAACTAAAACTTTTATTTTTCCAAATTTTATAAAATTTAAAATGTTTCTAAATTCAATTTTTATAATTTTGCATGGTTCCAAAAATTAATTAACAATAATTTAGTTAAAAATAAGTAAGAAATTATAATGAACAAAAATAATTTCTCGTATATGTGATTGATAAAATTAATGATCACCACTGATATTTATATGATAACTATATCAATATTGATGCTTCTTTCTTTTCTTATAAATTTTTATAACGAAATTCTAAAAAGACCGATAAAAATTGTTTTTATCCACTAATTCTTATCATGGTGCCTTTATTTTCCTACCAATAAAAGATACATAGAGCTTCTCGAATTTCGCTTCAAATATCTTCTTTTGCCAAGGATCACTAATCGTTATAATGTGGCTTAGTCGAAGCATTAAACTTATAAATCACTAAGCATACTATAAAAAAAGAAACAAATAAAATTGATAAGGCGAAAATTTATATTAATATTTTCGAAGGAACAAACGCGTTTATTTCTCTCAAATCGTTCAACAAGGAACAAAATTTTTCAAATTTATTTTTGAGAGAAAATTTTCCAAGTTGATTTTATACTAATCTGTTATAAGTTATGGCATTTATGCAAAGAAAAGTAATACTGATAAAATGAGTTTTATCATTTTATCAAGTTTTATTATGAGTTTTAATTTTAATTTTTTAATTTTTCCTCTTTCATTATCAGTAAAATTATCACTAAAATTGAAAATCGCCTTAAATACAAACTGCTTTCATTAAAATTTCGCTTAATCATACGATGGACATTATAGAGGTAGGTCCAATGAAAAAAAATTATTCAGCGAGTGAGTGCAAATTCTGAAGCCTTCTTAAAAAAACAAAAAGGTTTTAAAAATTCACAACTCACAATTCACCAATTCATTTTGGTGTAGCAGAAGTCATCTTTGTGAATCCATCTTTAAGAACAAAAACATTCGATAATATTAGAACTCCGTATTAGCTGTATTATATTATATATTATCTCTATGCATTAAATGCATATCCGAACGTCGATCATGAATTTTTCGAGAATTATTAGCATGATTAGCGAATAGTCCACTTATTTTTCCATGTTATCTTCATAATTCTCTTTTTCTAACTGATATTTCTGATTTGGTTAGCTCCATTGGTTGGGACTATTCACTAGGATAAGACCACTTCACCAAAGAGTCACTTGAAGATGGATATACAGGTAACCAAATATCATACGGCTCCTTCGCCTATATGCATGGATAATAAAACATATTACATATTAAACATATATTCAGAGTTGAACATGGAAAAAAAATCCAAACAGTATTCCAAACGATGATATTCTCGATAAAATCCATTTTCATAAAACGATCTTAGCAAAATTTAAATCAATTTTAAAAGGAGAGCAATAATTTAAGATGAAACAAAGATCAGCAGAACTTGTCGATTCTAGGAACTTCCCACTTCTCGATAATCCATTAAAATAGAGATCATAGATCCATCTAATTATCTCTAAAAATAAATTATTACTAATAAATTTGTTTTGGAAGGAAAAATGTTCCATGTTGTTGAATTTCAGAAAAATAAACATTAAAGAAAAAAATTTTATTCGGAATTTCAGAAATGTACTTGGAATATTTTTATATTGAAATATTCAGATAATTTTAGGTAAAATTCAGACAGATGTGAAAAAACACTTTATTATTTTATCATAGACATGGTCATTTATCTTATCACTTGTTAATTCATTGTTCCACTGTTCAAAGTTCTAAAGGAAGTTCAACATTAATTATCAAATTGATAAAATAGAATCAATTTTAAACTTATTTTTATATTTTTTTGCTAAAAAAAAAATCTGTCACAAGAATAAATTCCATCAAAATTTCGCATCTTTTCTAATAGCATTTTTTAGTTTCCTGTGGATTTTTTTTTTAAAAATCTAAGGATTTATAGAGGTCAGAATTTGAGAAAAATTCATTCAACGATTTTTTCCGGGAATTTTAGAATTCATTTTATTTAAAATGAATTTATAGCGTTTCAATTAAAAGTAAGCATCATTCTTCCAGAGAAATCGTCGAAATACATACATACGCCTGTTCCTTAAAGCAATAATCATTCGCTTAGTGTTTTATAGCTTAGCCATCCTCTTCTTAAATTTCTTCATTTCCATTGTTTTTCATTTCAATAACTGGTTAAAATTAAAATCAATAGCTAAGATCAATAAATCAATGATTAAAATTATTGAATCAATCCTTCCTTTGGGGGGATTTAAATTTTTAATTGCAAATATTAAGCCAATAACTCCTCTTTTTTTCCGTGGAAAATCTTTATTGATAGTTCATGAAAAAAAAACTTTATACATCTAATTTTTCTAGGATCCTTCTAATAGGATCCATTCAATGACTGACTAAAGTTATTTGACGTTAGAGGCACGGAAAGAAGGATAGGATTCATCCTCACATCGTTAGGATTTAATTTTAATAAAAAGCCTACGACGCCCATTTCATTTAAGGGAGTACTCGACCGTGCAGCAAATTAACTTATAAATTTGGATATTTGGATCTGACATTTTTGAAAAATTTTCAGCATGAAATTTTATTTTCAAGCTTTAAAAAATTTTCTCATTTATCAAATTTTATGCTATTTATTTAATTCGGATATATTTGTGCAAACAACGCTTTAACATAGAAATTCACATCTATTTTTCTTCATTTGTCATATTTTTATATATTAAAATTTATTTTCTAAATATTGTCTATGTGAAAATACTTAACGTTAGAATGGTTTCCTTTTAGAAATTTTTAAAAATTTTACTTATTTGAATTTGAAGCGTTTATATCCATCGATTTGTTCGAAAAAGAATTATTTGATATTTGATATTTATATAAGCTTCCAAATTAAACAGTAGAGTGATTGCTGCTTAGAAAATCACTTCGAGTATCAAGTTTCAGGTCTTCCATTTCGCGATTTATCAGCTATCAGCTACTAAAATTAAGAAAAACGCTTGGTTAATGGTAGTGGTTTGTTGTGATAATCATTGAACTGGTTGCATAATTATATAAAAATCAAATGATGAAATGATCCTCTCTCAAAAAAATATTGAGGATTTCCAGTGACATCAGAGGATCAAGTGAATTTTAAAGTACAGGTGCTTTCCTTCAGGCCCATGAGGATCTTATTTTTAATGATAAATTTATTCGTTTCAAGAATCGATGATGCTTGGTCTCAATAAACAATATACCCAGTCGTTTATCCTGTTTCAGCAGATATACCACCTTAATATGCATCTGGAAAAATTGTTGATTATTTATATTTCTATGATCGAATTAAATATAAATTGTCGTTTAGCGCTTAGCAGTAACCAATTTGGAAGAAGGATTGTTATTCTTGCTTCGATTTGCAGCAGCGATTATCATAGATGTCCCTTCCAGACAGGAATAAGTCTCTCGTAAAGAAAATTTCGAGTGGTGCCAGCAATTCGCTTATATTTCTTTAGTTCAATATTTCTGGTTAAGCTAACTTCTGGCTACTGCAAATCGAAGCAAGAATAACTGCTGTCTAGCTGTTAATACTGTTAATACTATTAATACTGCTAGAAATATTTGCTAGAGCACCATTTGGAAATAGAATTACCATCATCTTCCAGATTTCTTACAATAGACGATAGGCTCATCTCTGGCGAGGATCCTTATGACGAGCTTTTACTTCTCAACGCGATAATTTGAACCACTGCCCATTCGACCATTTGAAATAGTTTAAGTCTATTTAATTATCGAAATTTTTGAATTAATTGCTACGTTGATACTAAAAAGAAAATTGAATAAAAATTTTTAAAAAAATTTTCAGAAAAAAATCAAATTAAAATGGTATTTTCTATTTTCTAATAATACAATTAAATAATTATGACTTAAAAAATTTGAAAAATAAAAAACAATATAAAAATGTTTACTGGAATTTTTGGAAATTGGAAAATATATTGGAATTTTTATCTCAATGTATGTTTTCCAATGCTTTTTCTCTTATTCTGTTCTGGAAATAAGGACGCAAATCGCCTTTTCGAAGATTTATTAGCTGATTATAATAAATTGGTCAGACCCGTTGATAATAATAGTGAAACACTTATTGTGCGCTTTAAGCTGAAATTATCTCAACTACTTGACGTTGTAAGTTTTTCCTCTAATAAATTTAAATTCCAATAATCCTCGATTTTTATTATATTTTAACAATATCGAAAATAAATACATAAATATTTCCTATAAATGAACTGAATTTTTTAAATTGTATTTCGTTTTTCAGCATGAAAAAAATCAAATTATGACGACAAACGTTTGGCTTCAACATGTAAGATTTTTTTTTTATTAAAATTTTTAATTGGTAATTTTCAATTTTTTTATTAATAAAATAATGAAACTCCACAATGAGTTTATAAATTCATTACATTTAGTTTTTTTTTCTGAAATTTTATATTTTTCTGTTTAAATTTCCATAGATCACTAAATTTTTAAAAAATTTTCAGTAGAAAATATTTCTCCAAGAAATTGGTGCTTAGCGTTTTTCTGATTGACCACTAGCTATTAATAAGATTAGACATCTTTGCCAGAGAGTCATTTGGCGTTAGAAGGACAAGCGAGTCACTAGCACCATCCTGATTTTTAATGACAGACTATTTGTGGCCAGGATAGGATCCTCGCCTCTTAACGCGATAATCTGAGCACTATCCACTCGGCTATCCCGCCCTCTTAATCGTAAAGATTTATAAAGCTAGAAAATAATTGATTTTCAGAGGAAGTTATTGAAGTGCATTTATTTTTGAATGGAAGAAATAATTCTAAATATTTCAGAGTTGGACAGATTATAAACTGAAGTGGAATCCATCGGATTATGGTGGCGTTGAGGTTCTTTATGTGCCTTCTGATATGATTTGGTTGCCTGATATCGTTTTATACAATAAGTTAGTAAATGAAAAATGTTTTTTGAACAAATCTCTTTTCCCTTTCAAATTCATCTTTTTGTAATGATAAGAAAGATAATTTTTATAGTATTCTTAAAATACAATAAATTGTGAATATAAATAATCATTTAGTAAAACATCACTGTTTCTGGTTCGACTAATTCCAGTGGCTATTAGAATGATATCCTCCTTATGAAAGATGATTATCATATGCTGATTAAAATGATAAAAAAAAGTGAAGGAGGAAGATAGAATTTTTTGAGGATAGAAATTTTAGTGAATCGCCAGCACCTTACCGATTTTATTTATAAAAACGATTTTACATCCATCAGTATACAAAAATCAAATTATGTTGAGTCGACTTGTTCTTAGGCATAGCAACATATCACTCGGTTATCTTATCAATGGTGATAAGAACAAATCTATTTAGTGCTGATGGTAATTATCAAGTGTCGATAATGACAAAAGCAAAACTCTTGGCGAATGGAACGGTTGAGTGGGCGCCTCCAGCAATTTACAAAAGGTTTTCCTAATTTTTTCTTGCATAGTAAATGAGTAAATGACAAATAAAAAAGAAAATTATTTATGAAAAAATTTTGCAGAATTTTTTTTATGGTGTAAAATTTATTTGATGAAAAATTCATTTTCTACAAAAATATTTATAAATGTATATAGTTTTTGATAATTAAAAAGTTATAAAAGTTATATTGTAAATCATTGTAAATATTTTAATTATTTTATTATTATTATTAATTATTTAAATTCTAAAAAAGTTATATTGTAATTAAAATATTGTAAATTCTAAGTGTTGTCTTATAACTGTTATAACTATTGTCTTTAAGTTAAATCATCCTTTTAATTAAACAGAAATCATTCAAATGACATTTCTGTGACAATAAAAAAACAACTATAATTGAAGTTATTCCAAGCATTTTAAGTATGTGTCAAATCGATGTTGAATGGTTTCCTTTCGATGCACAAACATGTGAAATGAAATTTGGTATTTCATTTTTTTTTCCATACTTTTAAATTAAATTTCACTTGAAGCCACGAGGTAATTACAAAAAAAGTAAACATTTTTGATATGAATTTCGAATGCAATCTTCCTGTAGGCTGCTAATTTTTATGATTTTCACAACTTGCTTTTTTTATGGCTTTAAAAATCATTCAGGATCATGGACCTACGGAGGATTGGAAGTTGATTTAAAACACAAGGATTCGCATTTGGTAAGAGAAGAACAGGAGACCGTCTTGGGACTCGATGGCGAATATGAAGAGACAGTTTGGATTGTCGATGAAGGTCTTCAATAAAAATTAAAATGATGATTTCGAAATATATCATAAATTTTCCTGAATACAATACAATTTAAGCGAAATATCGCGGGATATTGCGACTCCAGAAATTTGACTAAATATTCGTTAAGTGCTAGATTTGGTAGTATTTCCAGTCATTTCCAAATTTTTTCCAGAAATTTTAGTAAAATAATAGTAAATCTAACACTCAAAATTGATAATAGAGTGAAAGATAAATTCGGCTCTGGATTCTGTTTATTTACAGGTATCGATTTAAGTGATTATTATCCGAGTGTTGAATGGGATATTTTGCGAGTTCCAGGCAAACGCCATGAAAAGAGGTTTCCACTGTTAATTTAAATCGCTCTAAAAAAAGGCGTCGAACATCTCGAAATTTAGCGCTAAATCCTTTTAGTTCCTTCTTCTTTGAGTCCTTCTCTTTTACTTTCGCTGCATAATTTATGTATTTTATTCGTAATGTTTCAGGTATCCATGTTGTGAATCGCCTTTCATTGATCTAACTTATGAAATTCATTTGAGACGCAAAACATTGTTCTATACAGTTAATCTGATATTTCCTTCTGTTGGTATTAGGTATTAATTATTTTTATTAATTAATTATTCAATTTTACTCAAGCCGAACGCATGCATCATGCGCAACATTATGTATCAAAGTCATAAATCTGGCATTTGCAAAATTTATGCAGAGGTAAGCAATAAGCAATAACTGATGTGGCAAATTGTAGTTGAACATGGCAAACATGGCCAAAGTATGTGCGCCGCATGTGATTGCCTAGGCCACAAATTGGGAGATGTTAGTTTTTTGAAAAGGAAGAGAATATTGCTAGGTTTCTCGAAGATAATAATTTATACTGAGAATCAAAATGCAGCGAATCAAAATGATTGCAAGAATTAATGTTAATATTCTGACTGATAGAAATGCTACACTTATACAATCTCAATTCATCATTGCAATGAAAAGAAAAATTGATAAATGGCGTTTTTCTTTTTTGAAAAAAAATTTAAGTTTGTCAAAGTGGCACTTATGCCAAAATTTTTAATCATTTTCCAATATCTTTTGATCTCAAAGAGGAAAAACTTAATGAATATTAAGAAAAGTTGAAAAGATTACTATCAGATGTTAAAAATTGATTTGAAATTCCGAAAATTTCAAATCAGCAATCTCATTTATTAGCCATTGGCGTTATTCAGGGTGGTTTTCTGATTTTTGAAATAATATTTTCTAACAAAGTGATTGTGGAGGTTCTGCTAGAAGAGACTTAGGCTTAACACAAATGCTTCATAAGTCTACGTGCCCGAAAGAATTATTTTTGCAACAACTTACGTTGTTATAAAATTATTATTATTCTCATTCAAAGGCAGCTAATTTACCAACTAATCTCCGTTTTGGGACAAATATTTTCACGAATCTTACAGAGATGTTGCGTGGCTGCGTGTCGCCTTAAAACAAAAAATTATCAACCAAATTTTAATAGTCTAACAAAATAGATGCAAGCACATATATGTAATAAACCAGTAGTTCATCATTATTTTCATTCTTGTGCTCTTTTGTATTAAATGCATGAAATTAAAATTCTAAAAAAATCCAGTTGGAGCTCTTCCAATATTGGTAAAGCCTAGCATTCTATTGATTGAAGCTTAGCCATTTCTAGCCATTCATATATTTTAATGTTACTTAGAAAAATTTGAGCTCAACGTGATCCTCCTTAAGATTAATCTCATCTCATTGCGTCTTTCATTCAACCTTATAAAATCCTTATTAATTTTATTTTATAGGTAAAAAAGAAAAAAAAATTTATAAAAAAAAATTATAAATATAAAAATAAAAAGATAAATTTTTTAATTTTTAGTTTTCTCACTGCTCTTGTGTTCTATTTGCCTTCAGATGGCGGTGAAAAAATTCCACTTTGCATTTCAATTTTGATTTCTCTACAGTTGTTCTTCTTGTTGTTAGGTAGCTTTTCTTTTCCAGTTGATCAAATAAATTTGATTTGATCTATTTTTTAAATTGCAAAGTTTTCTATATATTTTTATATTTAATTATATTTATTAATTATAATATTTAATCAATTATATATAATTATATTTAATTTATATTTTTCATTAAGTAAGTAAAGTATTCTTAATATTCGAATTATTCAAAAAATCAATTTTTTGAATTTCAGTGGAAATTATTCCTCCAACATCATTGGTGATACCACTTATTGGCAAATATTTACTTTTCACAATGGTACTTGTAACACTTTCTGTTGTCATCACAGTAATTACTTTGGTACGTATTGGTCACATATTCATTCAAATATTAATAGCTCTTTTAGCAATTTAATAAGATAGATGAGCATCACCCGAATTTTAACAGCATTCGAATTTTATTTTCTTTACATAGAATTATTCTTAAGAATGTTCACTTTCGATCGCCAACGACACATTTAATGCCGCAATGGACTCGTAAATTGTTTATCGAAATATTGCCGAGATATCTTTTAATACAACGGCCACCACCAATGAATCTTGGGCCAGTCTCCAAGATAAATCTCGATTCGGCAGTATGTATTTCTTTTTTTTTTACTTTTTTACTAAAGAGAAAAAACAATTTCGATAATCGTAAGATCTTTTTAAGTTTATCCCACGAAAGAAATCATCTGGAAGATGGAGTTTCAGCACGAGGCCTCGAGATTATTTTGCATCTGCAATGTTTGATCAGGTAATTTCGATATATTTATCGCATTTTAGTTTTTTTTCACTGAAGTAGAAAAAATTGATTAAATTGATTGATTAAATTGATTAAATAGATTATATAAATGTAAATAGGGATAAATTACTTCACTAGAATTAAGCCATTATTAGTTCGAATTCTATTTTTTGGCGGAAGTAATCCCATTGAATCTCTCCGTGAATGGTTTTCACTCTGATTTAACGAACCTATCTTCGTGGCCGAACCAGAGTTTATTGGAGGAAGAAAATATGGATGGAACAAATAGCATGGACAAAAACGCTATTCGAAAGTTTACTGAAAAGAGAAAAAGCTAGAGAATAGTTCTAAATTGGATCCAGCCTCTTTCTTGAATTTCAGATGGATTTTTTATCACCCAACTACAGCTCTTCAATTAGTGGTACGAATGTTGCTGATCAAAGTAGTAATACAAGTTTTCAAAAAGAATTTACTCCAATCAAAAGCGCTGTTGATAGTGTTTCATACATAGCCGATCATTTGAAAAATGATGAAGAAGACCGGCAGGTTAGTAAGGAAACAAGATTCTAGAATTCTTCTTAATCCAACGTTTATTTGATGTTCTAAAGTTTTTTGAGTCCTGGCTAATTAGTTACTAATTAGCCGTTGTTCTTTTGCCATATGGAATTTATTCTAAAGGAAAAGTTTTATTATTCTTCAGAAACTGGTCAGAGATACTGATCGATCGTTTTTTTAAATTTGTAGTTTTTTAGCTCTCAGTTCTCACCTCTGAAATGTTTTTCAAAAATTATATTCCTTTTTAGGTTGTTGAGGACTGGAAATATATATCCGTTGTAATAGATCGAATTTTTTTAATTCTTTTCACAACGGCTTGTATGCTTGGTACAATAACAATTATCTTTCGTGCGCCAACAATTTACGATAGGACTATTGCTTTGGCATAATTTATTGTTTGATACCTCTAATGGTGCAAAATATTATTTATTTTTATATTCATTTTTTTTTTTTTAAAATTACGAAAAATTTATTGAATTTCATTTTAGTTTAACAATAATATGAAAGTTCAATAAAATTTTTTTTGATATATATTAGAAAAAAAAACTGTCAATATTGCCAGTGAAAAATTACTCGACACTTTTGATCGTCCCATTTACATTTCTCATCGTCCACAAAGTCAAATCTAAAGCTGTTAATCACATTTTCTTCCAAATTCCCTTTAAATTTTATGTTTTTTTCTAAATCTATATTTATTACATTTGTTTGAATATTTGTCGTTTTTTAATGGAAAAGATAGAGTTTTTGGTTGGTCTATTTTCTTGATATTCTCCAACGGTTTTCCATTTGTAATCGAAAGTAAAAATGTTCTGCTGTTGTAAATGTTATACATATTTGAAAGATTTTATTGTGTAAAATTCCAAAATTTCAATCGACTTTTCTCTGATTATCCATCGAAAATTGCTCGAATTTTATTTCCAGAAAACTTTTCTTGAATGGAATGAAATTTTAAAACGGAATTTAGCAAAGCAGGTTATAGCAAATATCAAGAAAATTCGCCATTCAGGTAGCATATTTATTTATTGAATTGCCTGTATTGCCTTAGAAGCCTGCATTTTGCCCGTAGGTTCTTGTTCATTTTTTGGAATCCTCTCCATTTAAGAGATCGAATTCGCTCATCATCATTTAAGAATATCTACATTCGAATTATTGGAGAGAGAGGAGGTGGTGAAGAATAGAATGGCTCAGTGGATTGTTGTTCAAATCTTAGTGCCGATGGTAAGGTTCTCCTCCCTTCAGGAATAAATCTGCCCAAAAATCCTGATGATGCTGGCGATTCACCTGTACTTCTATCGTCAAGAGATTTCTCGGTATATTTGTCCAATGCGACAAGCCAGCGCAGCGGAATAACCAGTAATGGTGAGGACCTTTATAAGGAAAAAAAGAAGAAACATTTAAATTATAGTATAGAATTATAGGAAAGTTTTTTAATAAATAAACAATTTTTTAAAATTTATTATTAGGTACGATTTTTGATGATAAAATCTGAAAATATGCGAAATAATTAAAAAACAAAACTTATATTTTTGTGCGTAAATTTGATTCCACTTGATGTATCTTTGAGAATATATCCATCAAAAAATGTTATCTGCATGAATTCAATTAAAAAAGTCATGGCATCAATCCGAATAGCAGAAAAATATTAATTTTGGACAAATTGATTTCGATACATATATTTCCTAAAAAACTCTTCTTGCCTGCGATGTTATTTATTTTCAATTATTTCTATTTTTAAGAAATTTTTTTTAATATAAAATTTTTTAAATATAAAAATCTCAAAAATATTTATTTGAATTGTTAATTGAATTTTTTTTCCAGAAAAAATTTATATTTTTGAATTTGCTTTATGAAATTACTTTCTTTTTAACTTAACTTATTCCCATCTTCATTCTTCATACTTTTTTTGCAAATTTAATTATTCTTCTCAGAAATTTTGTATATTTGCTGCAAATATATTGATAATAAATCCATAAATAAAAGTAAATATTTCCAATATTCTTATGAATGGCCAAATGCATAATAACAATAACAAATCAAGAAGATAATAATAATAATAATAATAATAATAATAATAAATATTCAGCAAAAAAAACCGGATTTTTAAATTTTGAATTAAAATTGAAGTTGAATTCTCGAGTTTTCAAAATCTCAATTTCATTTCATTTTACGCCATGAAACTAATACATGTTTTATTTAGCACTGCGAAGGTTTTATAACCAATTTTTATGGAAAAAAAAACAAATGAAAACAAACAAAAAACAAAACAAAAAATAACAACATTCGGCCACAGCTTAACATCATTTTTATCTATGGTTGCCGAAAAAATTTTGGATTTTTTTGTTTTAATTTATTTGCTTATCGTTAATCACCTTGATCATAACAATTATTTTCATTATCACTTTGAGTTTTTATGTTAGAAAATAGTCAAATACAAGGAATTGCACTTATACTGGATTATTCAAGAAATCCATGCCATTATCTTGGCTTCTGGACTTTTGGCCACATTTTTCTTATTATGTCCTTGGTCTTGTTAGGTAAAATGGTTTGTCTTTCCTGTTTCTGAAAGCAACAGTTTCTGATTTTTTTTTAAGTGATTTGATTTGGGCGATCAAATTTATTATGGAATAATATTGCTCTCGAGCTGTGGTACTTCATGAGTCCAAACTCGAGCGATGGAAGTAAGCAGATCTTGATGTTAGTGCCACCTGAAATCCAATTCCTATTCCCGAGATACGAACGATAATACATAATGCTATAACAGTATTCAAAATAGAATACAATATTAGAGGTATCATATATTGCATGGACGTTTGATTCTTAATGTTCCCTGGAGGATTTTTGCATTTTATTTTATTTCTGGTTTGGATATTTAGCGAATTTATTGAAATAAGTTTATTTTGATAACATTTCTAAAATTTCTTCAAGTTTTTTTTTTATTTTTAACATTTACTTCAGAATAAATTGTCTAATATCCTAGAATAAAGTTAGTTCTGCGCCATATCAAATTTTTGAAAGTCGATTATTAAGAATTTTTCCTGATATTACTTATTCTCAGCCATAAGAATACTCTTAGGCCATTTTTTGTTAATATTAATATTAATATTTATCAATATTTTTATTTATTTATTTCTTTATTTATGACATATTATTATTATTATTATTATTATTATTATTATTATTATTATTATTATTATTATTATTATTAAAATATTATTATTATTGTTGATACTAACGCAGATGTATTGTTATTGCTTGGCTTTGTTGTCTTCTAAATAAATAATATAATTTTATTAATATGGCCACTGCTGAAATTAAATTAATAGAATATTAAATATTTTTATCGATCTGATAAATAGTGACTAATACGTAATCACGTAATAACAAAAAGAGAATTATACGACATGTTTTCTCGAATACATTTATTAATTAAGCCACTTCATCATACCAGAAAAATATGCGATGGATACAACGAAGAAAATCCATGGTATTGTTCTTCAGCGTAATATTTTTCGTTTTTTTTTTGTTTTTTTCATTTATTACGATCAATTAAAATAATTCATAACGCAAATACGACTTAAAATAGAGCGATTCACACCACTTGCCTTTTCATATTTTTCTTTTTCACTTGTTCTTCTAGTGAGTAAAAAATAAGTGATTAACGCTTATCACTTGGTTAAATCATCTCGCGACTAATTAAATTTTTATCATAGAATCATTTAGTGATACTGATAGACATTATCACTATCAAACAAAAAGAGATCCAAAATAAGAAAGAGATTCTGAATGATACTGTCTTACAACTTCCTCTCTCAACTATTTTATTTGTTAGTATATTTTTTTTAGTCCATTACAGCTTCAATAGAATTTTGTCAAAATTTATTAAAATTAAAATTAAAAAATCAGCAATAACTAAAAAATAAATCTACTTTTCTAGAAATCGCCTAAAAATATGCAAAAATAATAATATTGAAATTGCCAATGCCAATATTATTTCGACGCAATTTCTTTTACTTCACTATATGATTAAATGATTAAATTGCCTAGGTTATCATTTCAGATATCATGATTTATTGCCTGTATTTGATGGAAGCAAACCTATCATTGAAAACAAAGCTCAAATGGTACTGGTTTGCATTTCTATTCCTAGCTGATTCTCTGGAAAAACTATTTGATCTAGAAATTTTATGTGGAGCGAAAGAGAAGTGGCTTTTATTTAATCAGTTCAAATTTTTAATTCAAATGGGAATTTTAATAAAAAATATCGGTATAAATGAGTTTCCTCTATCCTCAAAATTCATCCATAACTGTGCAATATCCATGCGAGATAAGCAAAAATAAAGCAAAGCCATCACAAGTTATTTAATAAGTCGTACTGATAACTATATATATGTCATGAATATATATCTCATGAATTTCACGCGAGGAGCTATTTCGTGCTAAATAATTCTTTTATTTAATTTTAATTTTAGAAAAGTTTTGCTATTTTATTGATATTAAAATATTCGATATGGTAAAGATTTTTTATTGAAACTTTGTCGAAGCTCGTAGCCGTTCCCTTGAGCAGTAATTTATCATTTCCATTAATAATTTACTAGTGGGAATTGAAATTTACATTCATAATTCTTATCAGTCTCTTGTTGTTATAATTAATACATTTAATTGTTGTTTTGAATTTATACTATTTGCAATTTGCTATTTCTCGCTATCTTACACTGATTACACTGAAAATACACAAATAATTTATAGCATTAAGAAAATGTGAAAAATTAGCCAGTAGAGTTTTTTTTTGACCGCCTCAGGTGAAATAATCGGAATCTTTGGTTTGTATTAAACCTGACAGGAGAAGATAATCCAAGGAGGAACTATAAATATATAAATTTGATCAAAATGAAAATGATTTATTTTTTAGTTTGTTTAGTCCATTATTTGATAGATTTTCATCCGGGTTAACTTGTTCTAATTCAATTTCAGGATGCATTATTTAAAGATAACGAAGAAATATTGTATTTTTGGTTAGGTTTCCCTCGCCGATTCTTAGTATGGGTAGAAATTTTTGCCAGATAGTCACTTATCAATGGAGGAGTGAGTCACCAGCATTGCTCGAATTGCTAGTAGGCTTATTGTTGGCAAGAATGATGAAGGCAGGGGAAGATGAAAGAAGAAAGTTGAAAGCTGCAGATATTGGACCTTTAAATGGTTCAGTATATTGTTGCGCACTTCAAACTCCAATGATACTGACTGCTCTAATACGAATAGGAATAAACCTGCTATTCAAAAATTCGGATATGCCGATACTTATTTGTGATTTGCCATGTTACTTTGCTAGATAACTCTTTCTCTCGTAAAATTCCCTCTAAAGCTCAATCCGATGAGCAATTGGCTAATCGGC